TTATATATACATGTACATAATTATATATATAATTAAAGTCATATATACAAACATATGTAGCCTGGCAAGCTACCCGGGGTGTATTCGATATGCCAAAAACAGTAACAATAACGGGCTTCATTCCCCTGACCCTAAAAGAGCCTCCAATATGGCACCATTGGGAAAGACCAGTAAGGAGAGGCTGCTAAAAATCTCAGGGCTGGGACAAATGAGACGTTACTGCTTGAGTAAATCTATGAACAACGGGATGACAGTGATACAGTGATACTTAATATATATACTTATTTATATATTTTAAAATAGAATAAATAGAATCCCTAAATACCCCTAAATACCACTGGGGTAGCCCTGGGTGGAGCCTAGCAAGGCAGGTTCCAAGCAGCATAAAACCCTCAGACTCTAGCACTGAACCGATGTCCCTGTTGATCTATACAACCCTACCCCAAATGCTTGGGAATCTGACTCCCCCACAAGAACAATGTGACTATATTTATCAATACGTATAGACAAACTATCTCTAACAAGAAGCTTTTCCTACAGAAAGCATGGCTATTTCCCTATTTTCTTCAAAGATCCTGAGTTGGCCACTGTCCTAGGTAAACAATTTTACAACCAAGAGCAACATTCCCGTGGCCCTAATTTTGCCTATTAGTGTACATTTCTAGACTCTTGATTATACAGCAAAGGGATTTAATATATCATGTTGATGCTTGATTTCTAAGGAGCTTTAATATGTTTTTCCTAAGGAATTTTATAAATTAGAAACAATCCTGATAAAGCAACAGTTTAACACAACAGATTAAGAACACCTCTTTATGACCTATATTAGAGCTTTTATATCAAAAAGAGGATTTTTAAGGGATAGTGTTAAAATGCTCTGATATATTTTTCCTCAGACTGTTCAACTGCAATGCATATCAATTTTCCAAGTCATTTTCCCCTCAGTTGTAATGAACTGATACCATCTATCACAAAATAGATGCAAATCTCTTCCTCTCATCTGCTTCTTATTTTGGTGAGGAAATATCTCCAGATTCTCCAACAAAAAACACTTCATAATTCAACTATTAGGGATTTATTCCAAGTCACATGAGTGCAGACTGATAATTATTTCTGCAGCAGGTTGATACTTGTCTTATGAAAGAAGAGTTTTTTTTTAATCAATGTCATTGTAATTTTGAGACTATCTCTGTTCTTTGTGTAATTTTCATGTCCTGTATAAAGCTCTACTAGCCTTTAATTACCACAATCTCTGGGGCATAGTGATATTTAGTTCAACACAGCCATCTTTGTATAAATTTTGTGAATTTTCAGGTATAGCCAATTAAAATTAGAAGTGTTCACAAATAGATATAATACAGAAGCAGAAAGACAGCATAATTGTCTTCATATTTTTCAGATTAGTTTAAATAATGACTCCAACAGGCTGAGATTAAAACCATTATTTTCACTTTTCTATCATAAAGTGCTCTTTTAATATATTGAAAATTTCTGTCAGATTATAAAACTTTTTATTACATATTTTTAATAAAATCATGAAAAAGAATTAACTTTTCTTTGTGATTTCAAGAATCAAAATATTTTAAGTGTTAATGTTAGAAAATTGACTCACAGGTAATAAAAATGTTTAAGGACATATATATTTATATATATAATGTATATTTATATATATAACATACGTATAATAGTTTCCCTACTTTTATTTGTTTGTTTTTGGCTTTTTAGATCACAACTGTGGCAAGGCTCAGGGGTTACTCCTGCTTCTGCACTCAGGAATTATTCCTGGTGGTGCTTGGAGGAATGTAAGGGATGCCGGGGATTGAACCTCGGTTAGCCACATGCAAGGCAAATGCCCTACCAGCTGTACTATCACTCCAGCCCCACTACTTTTAGATATTAAAGATATCTGAGAAAATGATAATAAATAATTTATTGTTGTGACGTATTTATTTGCGTGTCATCCCTGTGCAAGGATGAAAAGCAAATAAATACATCACTGTCCTGTCACTGTCCTCCCGCTGTTCATCAATTTGCTCGTGTGGGCCCAGTAACGTCTCCATTGGAGACTTTTGTTGTTACTTGTGTTTGGCGTATCAAATACATCACGGGTGGCTTGCCAGGCTCTGCCTTGCGGGCGAGATACTCTCGGTAGCTTGCCGGGCTCTCCGAGAGGGGCGGAGGAATCGAACTCGGGTCAGCCATGTTGGCTGCGTGCAAGGCAAACGTCCTACCGCTGTGCTATTGCTCCAGCCCAAATAAATACATAAGAACAATAAATTATTAAATTTCAAATTGGTATTAAATTTATTTTAACAAACTTACTATGAAATGTTAATTATAAATACAGCACAGCGGGGACTGGAGCGATAGCACAGCGGTAGGGCGTTCGCCTTACAAGCGGCCAACATGGCCGACCCGAGTTCGGTTCCTCCGCCCCTCTCGGAGAGCCCGGCAAGCTACCGAGAGTATTCGATATGCCAGACACAGTAACAACAAAGTCTCCAATGGAGACGTTACTGGGCCTGCTCGAGCAAATTGATGATCAACGGGGGAGGGCCTTTACCTTTTAAAATACTATGACATGTGAGTATGTCCAGAAGGTCCCAAATTGTTCTTACTTTCAGATAAACAAAACTGATACATCCAAGAGCAGTTTAGGAAGCCCCTTATCTTTATCTACTTTTAATTATATACTTTAAAAGTATATACTTTTTTAAATTATATACTTTTAAATATATACTTCGATGGAAATTATATTTTTATATATTTTTTCCATATTTTAAATTTATTTTTATTTTCATATTTTTACATACTTCAATTAAAAGGTATACTTAAATCACTGTATTATAGACTTTTTATTTTGCAGAAGGAATAATTAGTCCTCCACCTCCTTACTTTCCCTTAACTTTGGATTTTATTGAATGGAATCATAAGACACCAAAGAAGTCTGTTGTTAGAAGAAGGAGCAACATTGAATTCTTGCTTCAATAGTGAGTAGGAGTCCTCTATCGCTTCACATTTTCAAGACCTTACTTCTTAACCTGCCAGAAATTCTATTCTAAGGCACAATGCTACCTTTCAATTGTTGAAATTAAAAGACAGGAGGTAGGTAGGTACAATAATGATAGGGGTGACACTGGAATGTTGTGCATAAATAAATCACAGAACCTCAATCGATAAAAAAAAAGAAAATTAAAAAAGCTCATTGAACTATTAAAAAGACAATGAAAGAGAAAATGTAAAAGGTGGCAGAAAACAATATTGAGGACAAAATTGAAAACTCTGTAAAGTGCCTGTCAAGTTGACAGGTTGGAGATGAGATGGGGAGTGGGGTAGGGAGGGAATATGGGAACACTGGTAGAGGGAATTTGACACTCATGGAGGGATTGGTGTTAAAGTATTATAAGCCTAAAGCTCAAATATCAATAACTTTGTAAATCACAATTCTTTAATAAGAACATAAATTAAAAAAACTTAAAAAATTAAAAGGATGTCCTTATTTTTTTAAAAAAATATTGAAGATAAACAAAATACTTAGAAAGTGAAAGCATCTTACAAACTTATTCATATACAAAGGAAATTGCAGAAGGAGTATTTAACTTCTTCAGTGACAAGAGAAGCTGAACCAGCCCCCTGAAAACAACAATATCACAAGCTAAATCAACTAATATTTGTGTTATCTCCTTTCTGGCTATTTTGTTTAACTACATAGGTATAAGCAAGAACTGGGTCACAAGTGAAGTCTCCTGGTTGAAAAGGTGTGTATATTTTATTTTTCTGGAGTTTATTATAAGATGCAGACATTTGTTAATAACTATTAACCATAATTAACCATAATCGATTGGTTTGAGGCTCTTTGTGTTCCTAGAATGAGCAGACGCCATTGGGCCACACTAGCACGCGACATGGACAAATGGAGATTACTGGCGCCCGCTTGAGCAAATCGATGTAACGGATGTCAAGTGATCAACCATAATTAATCTAAAAATAGAAATTCTATAGTCACTAACAAAAGTTAAAAAAAAATGTAAATGATGAAGAATGGGCACTGGTGGAGGGATGGTTACTGGATCATTGTATAACTGAAACCCAAGCACAAAAATTTGTAAGTCTACAACTGTACCTCATGGTGTCACTAATAAAAATTAAAAAAAAATAGAAATTCTAATATAATCATTTCATTTATAAGAACCAACCAGAGCTATCTCTTTCAAGTGAATATGAATATTTTTCTTCCATAAATTTTAGAAATAGTTCCTAGAGAAAAATTACTGAGCCATGCTCTGATTTCAGAATGAATGTGAGCACTGGTAGTAGCATATATTATATAATTACTTCTTCTAGAAGTAATAATAAAGGACACAAAATTGGTATGGCACCAAGATATTCAAATAAGTCAGGATCTAGAATAAAAAGTTCAAATTCTTATCAGAAATATAACTTTAATCTCTTAATATCCACAAGGCAACAGAGATGTTCTTAGGAAATACCAGTTAGATCATTAACTGAAACGTTTTCCTCTGAGTTAAATTCAATTCTTTTTTTTTTGTACTCCAAAAAACCTTTATTTATGGACAGTAAAATTTAAATTTCACATAATCTTTTGCCATAAAATATTCTTCCTTTGATTTTCAACCATCTGAAAATGTGAGTAGAATCTTATGACCCATAAAATAAAATGACCAGGGACTAAATTTGGCCCATAGGCCTTAGTGTGCTGATACCAGTTCTCCATTATAAATATACGTTCCATTCAATTCTTATCCAATAATAATTGGGGAAAAAGATATGCTAAAATACGTTTTCTATATTACGTCCAAACTCTTAAAATGAATCATAACCAGGAACTCTTAAACATCCCACCTCTTTTTATTGTAAAAATTGATATTTTAAGATAAATATTTTCAATAGTAAATAAATATTTAGCCTGTGAGGAAATAAACATAAAAATAAACAGAATTTTACACCTGGCAGCAAATATGTGCTCATGTAATTCTTACCTGCCCCCCTTTAGGCTGGTATTTGATATTGTCAGTTGAACCAATTTTGGACTTGACATTCTTCAGGTCTGGCAGTGGTTGGTTAATAAGCCGAAGCTGCTTAGGAGTGGCAGGAGATTTCGGAGGAGTACGGATGATAGCTACTTTCTTCTCACTGGGCACCAAGATAGAAGATTTGGGAGTTCCTGGTGTGTGAGGGGTCCTGGGATAACTAGGGGTGCCAGGGGTGCCTGGAGTGCGTGAAGAATAGCTGGGTGGGGTGCCCGGGGTGATGGCGGTTGATCCAGGGGTAGTGGGTGTAGAAGTACCACTCTTTCCAGCTCTGCGAATTGGCTCTGACCCTATATTAACAAAGAAGCAAAAGCTAAAGCAAGAGCCACAGCATCAGAAAGCTTGAAGACATTTCTTTTCCTGTAGACTGTTCCAGCTTATAACACACTCAATTCGAAAGTGTTTAAAATAGTATGAATTATAACACACATAAAGATGTTTGTTATTAAACAATACTTTGTTTCTAATTCATTTTTAATTTTTAAATTATAGTTTAGGAAATAGGATTATAATAGTGTTCAAGTTTCTGGTACTGGTGCACATCCCCACATCCCCACCATCCATGTGCCATGACCCTCCCCACTGTCCTGTGTCACCCCTGGTTCAGTATTCCCTCCCTCCCAACCCTTCCTCCGATATTTGCTAACTGACAGAGTTTTGCGGAATTTTATAACCTTCCTTAGTACAACTTTTTATGTAACAAAACCATTTCTTTATATTCCAATGCTACTTCCTGGCAACCAATTCTTCTGCCTTCCCTCCTCCTTCAACACCTGGTACTCTCAGGTATGTATTCCAGTATCTGAGGTTTAATATTGATTAATATTGTCCATAACCTTGATCTGCTCCTCTATAAACTATAGGTATATTTTTCTATTTCCTTTTAAAGATTCTGAACTTTGTGATATTCTTTTGAACATAATCATTTGAACATTTCTATCAGTGCTAGAATAAAACTTGGGAGGTTTTGCTCCCAGCATCCCTCCTACCCCCCACCCCCCCTCCCACCCCACCCCTGTGGCAGGGCATTCCCTTTTTTTCTCTCTCTCCTTTTGGGTGCTGTGGTTTGCAAAAGAGGCATTGAGTGGCTATCATGTTCGGTCTATAGAAATGACTTTTACTTATGTATTCTTAATTTTCACTGAATTATGAATGTGTCAAAAACACCAATGTTTCCAAAAATTTTCTATTTATATGAATCTTAAGGCATGTCTGTCTGGGTTGTGAAGAGAATCTGCATTTAATACAGAAGAGCTTATACATATTTTTTGAAGATTCCTTGAAGGATATGTGAACCATTTTTCCTTTTGTGTGATTAGCATGTTATAAGATTTAGGTGATCACACAACATAAATTGTATGTTTACAAAACATTTTTTGCCTGTGGAGAAGGTTATTTATTGAAGAGAACATTAATATTATTCCATATGAAGGAGTAACTGACCTACAAATACATTTATTGAATGATGCTCAATTTGTCAGACATTATTCTACAAGACCATGTACCTTTTTTTACAGAAATTTTTCTCACCTCTCAATGAAATAAAAAAAACCCCTTCTTTAGAAAAGCAAACTTCTAACAATGTCTTAACAGTGAATCCTATACACTAATGGAATGCATTTTCTCCTATACTTTCACTATTGGTTTTTAAGGTGGAGTAAAACTGGTAAGCATTACTGTTAATTATATGAAAGTTGTGAGATGCATTTCACTACCTCAACTTGACCTTAGCCTTCTTAAATCCTTTATCTCCTTCACCTCCATTCCCTTATAGTATATCTCTCTTGTTATTTTTTATGTAATATTATTTATTTATTATTTTGATACCATCTTATATTTTGGAAAAAAAGAGTTATAAAAATTCAATATGTTACAAATTTTAAAGCACTTTGGTGTATAATAAATATTTGATAAGCAAATAAGCACATAATCAGAAGCATTTTTATTATTCCCAATTAAAAAAAAAAGGAAGACACTGGGGATCATTAACTCAGATGATACTACATTCTAAGCCAGGATGTATTTAGTATACTACTTGTTTAATTCTCTCTTAGTTCTCAACATGCTTTTTAATTTTAATAATGAACACAAACTTCATATTTTTATACAAATCCTTTCACTTTTTTGTATTTCACTGTAAAAACAAGATTTTGATATTTTACTGCAGCATATGTAAATTTCATAAAATAAACTGATTTTAAAATCATCAAAGTGAAAAGATTCAGTCATCTAATGTAATTATCACTGCAGAAAATTTTTACTGAAAGTGAAGATATCTTTGCTTAAATATTTTCACAAAGTTAGTGTCAAAGAGCTTTTGAAAGATTCGTAATTTACATATGACATGTATCTACCCATTGGTCTAGGTTTAGTCTCCTAAAGAAATAGAGAACATCTACTTTTTCTTTAGTACATAATTTTCATGTATCAAATGAAAGGTACCTTGAGCCCTTTGCTTTTTTAACCTAAACTATAGGTTAAATACAGAATGCTTTGTTTTTACGTACAAATCATGTATCTGACTCTTCAACTGAGAGTGTGAAATGGTATATGAAAGGCTAAAATGATGTTAGTATGCATATTGTGATTTTACACAAAAATTGCATCTTAAGACCAACATGAGTTAACAACTACAATCGTGTCCTCTTGCACTTTCCTCTTTCTATACGATTTGCTTATGGGCAAAGTTTTGGGTATAGGTTTGAGTCAGTCAGTTTGTCTTGAAAAATCTCTTCAGAAGCCTAGACCTGAATACTCCCAGGAGCAATTATGTTCACTGCCAAGTTCTTTTTTTTTTTCTTTTTTATGGCATGGTTTGGATTCAGAATTTCTAAAAAAAAAAAAAAAAAAACCAAAAAGGTAATATTCTAAAATATGCAATCAATTTTGACTAAAATGGTTAAAAAGTTTATTATTTTATTCTTATGTTCCTAAAGAATGGCTTTGAATTTCAAACAAGAAAAGGATATGGGTTTGTATTACATCTGGAAAATGAGGAAAAGCCACAATATTTAACTTTTGAACATCATCATTTAAGAAATTATAACATTATTTTTTAGTGAAGTAATATAAAAAATAAATTTACTTAGAGGAAATGCAAAGGGAGGAAATGACAGAAACACACGTTCCAAAGAGTCCACATCTCAGTCAAGTGTACACATCTTAGATTCAGATGTGGGCCAATTTCCCGGGTGGAAGAATGAACGATAAAGTAAAAGAAATTTTACATTTCAGATTGAGATGCAGACCAATATCTATCATGGAAAATAAGTTAGATCCAGTTTGACTGTAATACATTATGTCTGTTTAGTTTTTAAAATGACAAATTGGGACATTTTCAAATATTCTGAATTGAAAAGGTTACATGACATTGAAACAATTTAAAAGATATTTGGAAGTTGAGCCTCCCCAGTGATATCTACAGACTTAGATTACAGCACAGAGACCATGGCAGGGTCATGCCTGCATTTATGGACAGACACCAGTGCTACACCTGGTGGTGCTGAGGATGAATCACGTAGTATGATAGGTTTAAGGTCTTTAACTTGCTGGTCCTTTGAACTATTTATCTTGTCAACTCCTCAAAGATAATTTCATTTGTTTCTTTCTGAGTTAAATTAACTTCCTATTTAATATTATTTTTTAAAAATATTTTCAAAAATGGCAAAAAGGAGGGACATTTTCCATGGATAGTGAAGGGATGATAGGTGTGTGGGAGTAGAAAAATTGTTTGCATTTCTAACTGCTCTTAGGTCTTTTAATTATTGCTTTGTAGAGATCAAATAAATGCTAGTCTTTTGATAATCAGAACCACAATTATGTTCACTGCCAAAGAATACAATGCAACATGATTATGAATGCATATTCTGGTCAAAGTAGCATTGGTTTAGAACACTGAAAGGAATTTATATACAGATAAAATTTAAAAGGCAGAACATAGTGGCTTAAAAAAAACGTGGTTATATAGAGAAAATGCTATTTTGCTTCCATAGCAACAGATAACTGCATAGTTCAAGGTGTGCAGAAGAGGAACACTTAGTATCATTGTCTGGTCCCAATTTTCTAGAAGGCAAGCTGATGCCCAATTGCATCTCCAAATAAGTAGAGTTTAAATTTCTCTGTGAAAATTAAGAAATCTTAAACAGCTTCTTTGCCAATGCAGTTGACTGTTATTTTTGCTAAGATAAAGAAGACTTTCAGTGATTTATGAGTGTCCTTGAAACATATTTCAAAGGGTGTTAATAGATATGAAACTATTGTTCTAACTATAATAAACATGTTCATAGGCAACCCTAACCCTCGCTGTTTAAATTTCACTTAAAAACAGTCACATTGGAATTAAGTCAATTATTAAATATTTATAAAGTGATAATATCAACTAGCATGTGAAAGTGGTAGAGATTTCCACCATACTAAAATCAATTTTCAATGACAGACCCTATAATCCAAGTGATTTTCATAGCCAACTCTCTAGTATTATTTCTTCTAAATAAGTATAGAGAAGATATTAAAAGGATAACTATGATATTATCAGTGGGCTGAAAACCAAATTCAGCTACTTAAAATCCGTGTAACATTAGACAAGTTAGCTTCTCTAAAAGGTCTGTTTTCTCTGTACATTTACTTAGTTTATTTATTAATGTTAGCAGTAGAATTAAGTTGAGTGGCAATGAGTTTTTTCCTCTATATATGCTCAATAAGTGGCATATATATATCTTGTAATAAACATATATATATGAAAATAATTAACAGCCATGTTTTACTAAATAGACTTGACAGTAACACAGGAAGTATATATGTGGGAGAAGACTGTAATGTTAAAAGGTTATTGACATAAACTGCCACCACTGTCGACCAGTTTATTAAGGATAATCAGTTGAAGAAATTTAAGTTATTGTACAGAATGTTCTATATTTATCATCACATTGGAATGAACATCCTTAAGATGAACAGAATCCTAACTTTTAAATGTTGACTTCCCAGCTGGATTTTAGAACTTGAAATAATATTGAATTTTTTAACTCTATCTATTGGTTTTCTCTATTAATTACTTCATTTGTTTTTCCTTTTAATTCTATAGGTGAAAGAGGTAATATACTCTGAAAAAGTCTTTTTAGATTTATTTAATGAATAATAAAGCAGAATGCATTCATTTTTCTCCCTCAATCATACTGGTTCAAATAGCAGCTTGAATCAATAGTCTGATCTTATTTTTGATAGCTCTGGGAAAAATATAACGTGTCTGTGTGTGTGTGTGTGTGTGTGTGTGTGTGTATGTGAGAGTGTGAGTGTTTGTTGGCATGGGGCCACATCCGGTGTCCTGGTTCTTTGCTCAGGAGTGACTTCTGGCATTGCTTGCAATCATATATGCAGTTCCAGGAGCTGAAATCAGGGATAGCTGTATGCAAGGCAAGCACCTCATCTCCTGTACTATCTCTCTGGCTCTAATGCATGGTTGACTTGAAAATATTAAACTACAGGTACATGATAAATTCATCCGAGTTCCATTTAAGGGACTCTTCAAAACGATCTTTAAAAGAAGCCAAATCAAAATAAACCTACTGGTAGTCCGCCGTGCTGAAGAAATAGAGCTGTTGAGAGAGAAGGAATTCTCCTCTCTGTCTCCTGATACACCTCTGCGAGGAGGAAGAATGGAGGAGGGTCTTGGTAGAGCAGAGCGCTTTTCTGGACTCTTGGTTATTCCATCCTGATTAGTGAAAGCAAAAGGGTTCTTGTGAATCTTTACTTATACAAAATGATTACATTGTCTGGTTATTTTTCTGTCCTATGCTGAGATATGAACTACTTTCAATATGTACTGTAGAGTTTCATTTCATTGAGTTTCATTTCTGCTTCAACATTCAGAATTCATCTTTGCCTAGAGGTCTTATAAAAATACAGTAATTTGGAATTAGTGTTATAATTGTTAAGTTCAAATTCCAAATACAAGCAAAGTTAGTTTTATTTAAGCAATTTTCAGTGAATTAATAATCATGGTGAAAATAATGAATAATAAGCTATTTACTATTCAAAAGCTACGGGTGATAAGGCAATAGCATGTATTTATTCCTAACATTGATGACAAATATACACCATGTACTATGTAACAAGGATGCTCAATCATTCTATATTTATTTCTGAATTAATTTTTAGATGTGTTAATTTAATAGCTGAGGAAACCGATTTTGTGTGGTATTTTTCAGGATTACAAAGTTGGCAGAGATAAAGGTGGTACTACATCCTAATGTGTTTAATTCAGAGTATAAATTGTTTAGTATAAAATGTGTAATGTTACTATTAGATTACTCAAATTAAACATAACATGTTATAGGTAATATTACACATAATGCTTATATCTAAGATGTTATCTAATATTAACTATGAAGGGTGGAAACATTTCCATTGTTTGAAATGATTAGACTCTTTATAACAAAGTTTTATTTGTGTTTGTTTGCTGTAAGGTTTACTTTTTATATATTAAATACACTTTACAATTTTATGTCTTTATTTTCATAGTACACTTATATTCCTTTCTGCACCTTTGGTTGACCTGCTGCCTTACCTTGTTCCCTGATTCTGAGTATGGCAAACGGTCTGTGGAGCCCGCTGAGGTGGGCTGTGTTAAAGAACTGTCAGAAAATGTAGCCCTTTTAGTCGTGCTAGGGCAGGCTGAGCTGCATCTTGGGGACTTTGTGCTACCCTGTAAGGCCGGAATCTTTGACAAGGTAGAATTCTAGCCATGAAAGAAAACAAACAAAAGCACAAAATAAACCAAACTATGAAGTAAAAGAAAAATTAAAAGAAAAAGTCTACACATGCAATAAAATAAATGTCTACTTTTAATAAGAACACATGATGAAAGACTACAATCAATGATAGACTTACATCTACATAAGAACAAGACACTCTATATCTACCCACAGACAACCTCTTTTAGCCGACATTGGTTTACGAATACATGTAACATGAGAATACGGAGCAAAATATTCCTTTCGGGGAGTAACAGCCTGTGGTGCTTGGAATAAGTCCTGGTGCAATGCTAGGGGACCATGTGGTGCTGGGGCTCTAACTCAGGACTCCCACATGCAAAGCCACACTCTGGCCGCAGAATAACATCTTTTTTATAGGTTTTAAATAAGAGGTCTCTGAATAATATGTAGGTTTATAATATTATCATATTGTTACCTATTGTACTATATATTATTACAAATAATAATTGGCATTTTTTTGGGAAAATAAATGTAGCCCTTAAGGCACATAAATAATCACTATAAATCATATTTCAGGAACTGTAGAACTGTAGAACAAAGAATAGTATCACATAATAACAGAAGGAAAGAGCATTTTAAGATTGTATTGAGGGAGCTTGAGTGATAGCACAGCTGGTAGGGCGTTTGCCTTCCACGCGGCCAATCCGGGTTCGATTCCCAGCATCCCATATGGTCCCCTGAGCACTGCCAGGAGTAATTCCTGAGTGCAAAGCCAGGAATAACCCCTGAGCATTGCTGGGTGTGACCCAAAAAGCAAAAAAAAAAATATTGCATTGAGAATGGAGAAACAGGACAGTGGGTAGGACACTTGGATGCTGCTAACCTGGGTTTGACCCTAGCCATTTCAAGCACCAACTGAAGTGATCCTGGAGTACAAAGCCACGACTAAGCCCTGAGCTCCTGCAGGTATGGCACCCAAACCAAAACAAACCAAAGAAGTCTTTTTTAAAAACTGGTTGCATTAATTTCATGAAAAAAATTAGAATTTAGAGTTTATTTTATAAGTCTGATGCTTACCGGGGAAAAGTTATACCATGGAATTTAAAAATAGCATTTTTATGTGTAGAATGCAGTTTGTATGCTATATCCTCTATCCTAAAATAAAGGTCAGCACTAAAGATATTGCCCATAAGTTATAAGCTTTAGTTTAAAGGTGCTGACCATAATTGGAGAGATTGTTGTAGAGGAGTTAGATAAATGGCTTTGAAAAGTCTTAAAATACAGGACAGATATGAAAAAGTCATGGAGTTTTGTCTTCAAGCAATTAGTATAACTTATATGTTAGGAAAAACAAACAGCTGAAATTGAGATTGTTTTGTTTTTGTTGGGCCACACCCGACAGAACTCAGGTATTACATCTGGCTCTATGCTCAGGAACTATTCTTGATAGTACTAAGAGGACCAAATGTGGTGCTGGGGATCAAACCTGGATTGACAGTATAAAAGTTCCCTACCCATGGTATACTAAGTCTCCAGCTGTTTTCATATTCATAGCTACTTCAAAAGGGACTTTTTATTTTTCAGACCAGCATCTTGAATGGAAAATGGAACTCGGTTGACAAAGTCATTCTTTTTTGATTGATGCAAGCCATAAAATAGGGAATTTTAAAAGAGTGATATATAGGAAAGAAAAATAAATTTATTTTATTGATTCTATTTATGAAAGACAAAACTAAAACATGCAAAAACTAAACAAAAGGAAACAAAAATAACCAAGCAATAAGACCAAGTGAAATGAAGAATTATAGGACAGGGTCACAATAAAGATCAATTAAAAAACTAGAAGTGTTATTATGGAGGTACTATGAGATAAATAAAAATTAATCTTGTGGATTTTAGGAAATGCATAGGAAGAAAATGAGGTTACAAGAAAGGAAAAAAAGAGGATGTAAAATAAGAAAAAATTACAATGAATTGGTGGTCTACTCTCTCCTTCAAATGATAAGCTGAGTATTATTTCCAAGAAAAATGGGTAAAGCCTATGTAGAATGAGCATACAATTTCTGTCCTAAATGTCAGTATCAATGACAAAATTTATTTTTCCTTGAAGACCAAGGGCTTTGAAAGTCCTTAGGGACTTTTAAAAAATTGTACTCAAAGTCTTTCTCTAATACAGGTAGAAATCTTCAAACTTCTTCGGTCTGTTCCTAAAAACTTAAATCTTTCAAATACTAGCAATAATAATAATGGCAGTTATTACAGTAATAGCAATAATAACTGAAATGAATAAATCCTATGTTTGGGCATATACTGTTTTACACATTAGCGTATTTAATTTTCATGACTAACAGTATATAGAAATTTTTACTCTTCTTAAGAAAAACATAATAGAGAAAATAAATGTTCCAGAAAGGGAACTAGTCTGTTTCATAGCTCTGCTCATCACATCCACAACTCAATAATCCTGTCAGAAACAGAAAGTAAAGAGATACAAGTCATGAAATCACAGTGTGCTTAAAATAAAGCTTAATATTTATCACAGCAATCAAATAATCCTTTTGTTTGGAGAACTCCATATATATGTACATATATATATCAAAACAAAAGGATTATTTCATTGGAATATATATGTTATTTGGAATACATAGGAAACATTTATATTGTAATTTAAAAATTTTCAACACAAAATCTCTTATTTTCAAAATTTCATGAAATATTTGGCTCCTTTATTAATGTTTTTACCAATAAATTTAAAATGGCAGTCTAAAATTACATTCGTTTTTCTGAAGACTAAACAAAGTATTATGATTCATATATTATACATAACTATTAAGACCAGAAAATGTGGTGAACTATTAAATATTTTGTTCAAAATATTTCTTTAGGAAAAGTAATTTCATGAGTAGTCTTTTAGTTCTTTCGATCAGCAAAAAAGCAAAAACTACTAATGTTAGCTTGTTTTTTTTAAGTTTAAAAACATGGTTAATAATGTCATAAAAGAATAATTATGAAATATTTATATATAATTAAATATCAATACAGCAAAAGTGAAACAATAGTTATTTTATTCCCATGAATATAAAAATTATAAATTAAAATTTAAAATATAAATAAATATAAATATAGGGGCTGGAGAGATAGTACAGCAGGGAGGGCATTTGCCTTACACGCGGCCAACCCGGGTTTGATTCCCAGCATCCCATATGGTCCCCTGAGCACCGCCAGGAGTAACTCCTGAGTGCAGAGCCAGGAGTAACCCGTGTGCCAGGAGCAACCCCAGGTGTGACCCAAAAAGCAAAAAAATATATATATATAACTAAAAATTAAAAAATATATTTTTAAATAAAATATTTTAAAATATATTATATTTTAAAAATTAAAATATATTAGCACGTAGCACTGTCCTCCCGTTGTTCATCAATTAGCTCGAGCAGGTTCATTAACGTCACCACTGTGAGACTTGTTACTGTGTTTGGCATATCGAATACGTCATGGGTAGCTTTCCACGCTTTGCAGTACAGGCGAGTACACTCAGAAGCTTGCCAGGCTTTCTGATAGGGGCGGAGGAATCGAACCCAGGTGGGCCGGGTCAGCCGGGTCGGCCGCATACAAGGCAAACGCCCTATCTGCTGTGCTATCTCTCCAGTCCAAAATATATTAAAAAATAAAAATATAAAAAATGATAATTAAAATGAACATAAGCATGCATTTTCTGACACTTGGTGGTGCCCAGAGCTTACTCCTAGCTGGGTTCAGGGAATCATATGGGGTGCCAGGAATCAAACCTGAGTTGGCTGCATGCAAGGCAATACCTATCCACTATACTATCTGTCCATCCCCTGAATGTAAGCATGCTTATCCAGAACTGGAAGACATATAAGTAGGTAACCATTTCTGGAGGGCATTTTTTTTTTTTGCAACAAGTTTAACATGGATTCTTTTTGAAACAGTAGCAATTTCACTAGCATCCTAAAGAAATGTATGCAAATTCATTAATAGATTTAGCCAAAAAAATATTTTTACAGTGATATTGGTAAAAATAACTAAAGCAATTAAAACTTCGAATGTCAAATACTAAGGAACGAATTAAGTTTAATACTTTCAAATAAAATGCAATGTTAGACAGACATTGAAATGATGCACAAGAATGTCTAATGACATGAAAATCTTTTGACTATGTTATAAAAAATTAGCTTCTTTTTTGTTTTGAAACATACAAATATGTAGCAAAATAGTTCATATCAAAATGGTAAGTGTAATTGTCTTTAGATGAGGGAATTATATTTTATTTTCACTCATATTTATTCATCTACATTGTTTAATTTTCTCATATATTTATTTTATAACAAAATCCATGACATTTATTATGAAATAGTCCACTGTTGATTATAATGGTTTGCTTTGATCCTATGAAAAGCAGTATTTTTAAGCTTCCTAATTTTTTTGCTAGATTAAACTGCTGGTTTTGTATATTTCTATATAACTAATAAAGTAGCCCAGGGGAAGGAAAAAATAGCCTAAATCCCAGTTCTACTCTGACCATGCACGATCACAAGTCACTCCAGAAACATTTTCATGCCCAAATGCCATTGAAAATCACTCTGGGTAAGAGGACAATTTAAGTGAAAATTTAGAGCAAAACACCTACAGACTTAAATCTATCTACAATTATTAACATATTACCATTAATAGCTAAGATAACTTTAAATTGAAACAAGAAAAAACATCATTTTACTCACAGAAACTTTCTCCCTTGCCTGTTTAAATACACTGGGAGCCTGAGTTGATTCACCACCTGCTGCTGTGGAAGAGAAAAAAAAAACAACAGCAAACTTAGTGGCGAAGCATCACATAAGTACATTCTAATACTTTTGGGATATCCAGTTATCTCATTAGACTAATGCAATATTTTTCTCATCTTAAGATTTAGATTTGGTAACTGAAGAAACTTTATAGCATGTAGCTCCCACTATAGTTTGTGCTTATACCAAAGCACAGGTAAGAGAAACACATGATTTCCAATCAGTTACTAAGGTATCTTGACATTACGATTACATGATAGATCCTTTAGAATGTAGTCACAGAATAGCAATCTTAATGCCGAAAAGTATAAGGAGAAGGGGCTGATTAGTTTCTTGAGTTGATATGATATAAATGAGCGTGCATGAAAATGCTAATACCCTCTTTTGATAGCCAGTGACATACCAACTTATTTCTGTATTTTAGTTTTGAGATTATTACAAGCAGCCAACCCCTTTTCTTCTACCCCCTTCACTTCACAACACGAACAACACACTTGCTTGATGTGAACGTTATCACATGAGAAAAGACGGGAAGAAAAATAACTTGTCAAAGAGAGAAGACATGACAAGAATTTTAAGTTCCGTAATATCGAATATGGTATACACATGCACTTCCTGTATGAAATTATTACCACATCTGTTACTGTTGTTTTTCTTGCTGCTGTTTTAGACTAATGCTTTCAATTTTTAAATTTCATTATCTTGAGCATTTTTTAGGTTGATGACTTACCTCATATGAATTAAAGCTCTCTCATGAATAGAAGCAATACAACTATCTCCATTTAAAAACCGTGCTTGGAAAATGAAAGGTAGGAGGTTGTGTACTTATTCGTTCCTTAATTTGCTTTCACAAAAGAGAAAACCTCAGGGGTTGGGGGCGAAATCACTATCCTTATAAGCACCCTGAACAAGTTTCAAGATTTTCAATGCCATATGCAGCTCTAGCACAAAAATAAAAACGTTCTACAATATGCTGTATGCTATTTAGGACTGGCTAGTAAGATTATTCACAGATTCTGGAACTGGTTTTGTTTTTTTTAAAAACGGCTATTTCTATAATATATCATAAATTTCTGACTTAATTTGGTTTAAGACAACACACCCACATTTGGTATATGTTTTTTGTTTGTTAAATATATTAATATTTGAATAGAAAGGAAAATCCTAATTACTCCAAAGATCTTTAATTTCCTTTAACAAGTGAATTAAAAACAATTACTGTCAATATAGGCACTGAAGAGCAATAACATATTAAGACACTTCACCAGTCTTCTAAAATTTCTTCTGACAATCCATAGTCCTTATACAATCTTTCACATTCAGGTAAAATATGTAACTTTTATTTCAAAACTAAAAGATCTGTTTGACTAAGCATTTATCTATAAATATAAACATTTCGAACAGAAAATATTCAGGTTTAATAAAAACTGAGTACAATGTAATATAAAGTTTAGAGACATATTTATTTCTAATACTTAGAGAAATTCTTTACCCTCAAACCTTTGTCCTTTACATTTTCTTTATAATTTTAAATTATATTTCTTTCACTTTCAAATCCTATCACAGATGTTAGTTCTTGAAGGAAAGAACACAGAATGATTCCTATATGAAGAAAACATATAAAATACTTTTTTCATGGCTATCATAAGACCACCAATAAATTTGACTTTATTCTATAGATTATTATAGCAGTTTGTAACCAACACATTAAAAAAATGATCAAATAGGAAAAAGATACAGCTCAGTAGAATGAAAGAACTGTTAAGAATTTTGGCATGAGGAACAAAATAAAATGAGGTTCCATTCCCCCTCCCTTTCATTCAAAGTAATTTTGCAAACACAATTTTAGCCCAGATTTGCTTTTTATGTTTCAACTCAAAAGCACTGTATATTCTCGGTGCATTTCAGTAAATTCAAGAACATCAGTAACAGATTTGGCAGTAACAATATAGAAAATAAGACAAGTACGTATGATTGTAAGCATGAAGAAGATAAATAAGCAAAATAATGAGAATGCATACCACGGTTATATTCATCGCCATCGTCTAACCAAACACACTGAATGAAAATAGGAATCCCCAGAATGTGACACTAGAGAATAATGCCAAGATACAATCACTGTTAAATCTGAGCATGGCAAAGAAACAGATGGTCATGACCTCTTCTGTAGGAAGGGGAAAAAAAAAAAGAAAAAGAATAATGATACATGACAATAGTGAAATTGTTCATGACTGTTGAATTTTGGGGAAGAAAAACAAAATGAAGAAGCTGCTATAGAAATGAGATTAAAAAAAATACATGTCTATGTTTGCCAGCCACATTGCAGAATTGAACAGTCTACCTGTCGTTTTCCGCTTAACACAGGAGAGATGAGTTGGTCTAGTATATTTGATAGCAGGTTTTAAAATGAATTTCCTGGAGGGAGAGTGGGCCTGAACTTCTGTTTTTTTAGCAAGTTCAGCCTTCTTATAAACTGCTATGAATAAAGAAAACACAAAAAAAGCATACCATCAGGAAAAAAATCGAACACTTGGAGTAAAACCGAACGAAATTTTACAAATAATTAGTTACTACTGTTAGGTAAGCTTCTTTTATAAAAAGAGTAATAACGAATTACTGCAAACACATTTTTTTTTAAAAAGAAGTGATTGTTAAATGAACCTTTTTTCCTTCTCACTTCATCTCTGGAGACTGTGCTAGGTTCCTTTTTAGCTATTTTTCTTTCAGGAGTGGAAATTCTGCCTCTCCCGGTTTTAAAAGGCTTTTCTTTTCTATGTTTCTCCAGAGATGGTCTCCGAGCTTCCTTTTCAGCTTTCTCCTCTTTAGGAATAGTGTCTAACTGTTCTGTCATGATGCTTCTATCATCATCTGTGAATCAAAGCAAACCATGACAACAACAACAAAAAACATTAGTAACCAATGTACAAAGCTCCTCAGAGATTTCATAAAAGGTGAAAAAAAAATAAGGGGATAGGTTAACATCTTTAAAAATGAAAAAAAATCCAAGAAGCTACTGGACTTTATTTGGGAGAAAAAACGTAAAAAAAAAAATGCACACCTTGCGTGTCCACCCAGAGGCTGTCAGCATCCAGGATGGAGTCGTCTATGGTGGTCTCATCTTTGTAATCATCATAGGTGTCCGTCTTATAGTCAAGCTCGCCTCTCATTGGGGAAGCCGGCGCCTCTGGGGAGCCATCTCTGGGTTCTGCCTGGGCTTCTGCTGCCTCTTCAGCGTGAGGGGACGGTCTCCTGTCCATTTCGGGATGCTCGAGGGCTGCGAAACGCACACTGTGAGAGCCCGACTCCCCTTCGTCAGTTGTGGTTTGAACGACGGTGATGAAATCATCTTCGATGGTTACAACGGACTCAATCACTCCCTTGTGTTCCCCTGGGCAGGTCTCCACAAACTCCTCCCTGACAGCTGGGGCTCCCAGGTCAGCAATCTGCAGGGTGTCGGAGCGGAAGAGCAGCTTATCATACTCTCCCCGGGCCTCTATTTCTTCTTCCTCCCCTGGAGCTTCAACTGCTTGAGCTGTGATAGCTTCCGTCACTTCGGACGGTGTAATCGATATATCTGGGGTCTCTCTGCTTTCTTCTTTGGGCAGCTCAATGAATTCCATCTGGACATCAGCTCCCTCCTCTGGAGCTGCAGATGCGCAAGGTATTTCCACAGACAACTTGATGGCAATCTCATCCTGAATCAGAGAAGATTCTGGGGACGTTTCCTTCTTTCCCTCATCTGCTTTCAAGGACTCCATGGTGAGGCTTTCATGCTCACCACTGGACTCGTAGGACTCTTCTTTGTCTACAGCCTCTTGATGCACTAAGTCTGGCTTGGCCACCTTCTCCTTGACTTCTGTCTCACTAACTTTAGTGCCTTCCTTCAGAGGACCAGGCTCGAGACCCATGAACACCTCTGCTCCACGGGACACTGTAGGAGAGGAGATGAAGTCCTGTGCAGCCTTTCCAGCATCTATGTTTAGCCCTGAGGCCATCTGTCCAAAGTCACTGATTTTAATATCCAATGGTCCCTGGTCAGCTTTCTTGGTGGTAAAATCCAGTTCAGCTGTGCCGGATGTTTCTACTTCAGCTACCTCTGGCACTGAACTAAGACCTTTCTCTGCCTTCTCAGCCAGGAGTGGTGGTGCATCCTTTGATCCTGTCAGTTCTTTGGCTGAGGCATGCTCAGAGGTTGCTCCGAGACCAAATGTTTCCACTTTATCACTGGCTCCTTCCGTTTCCTTGGCACTTTGTTTTGCATCGGCTTGTTCTTCGCTCTTTTCGAGTACGGTATCCAGCTTATCACTAACTTTCCTCTCCTGATCTGACTCCCTACCCAGTCCTGATTTGTCAACAGAGACCTGTGGGGATGTTTCCCTCTCAGCGCTGAACTCATCTTTGACTCTTCCAGCAGCTGCCAGTTTCACCTCGATCAACGAAAGGTCTGCAGCCAAATCTCTGCGTGCTTTATCGTCGGTGCCTTCGTAAAAGGAACCGCCCTCCCCTGATAAATTCTCACTGTCCTGAACAGGGGATGGGAGTGGTACTGTGTATTTATTGAACACACAGTAGCCCATATCTTCAGGTTGACTGTCTGCTTTGACCATGCCATGGTTTTCATTGGTGACAGGCGGCAAGCCAGTGCGACTCTCCTCAAACATAACTTCTGCTGGGACTGATTTCCTTCTGGCAACCTCAGCATCTGCACTCACGGAAGCTAACCTAGACCTTGTTCCTGCCAGATCCAGCATTTCAGGCAGGTCAGGGGCCATGACAGTACCGTTTTTGTAAAAATCTTTGGCTAGGAAAGGCGATTCGCACGGTGCCTCCACTTGAGTATTTTCCTCTCTGGCAACTTTCTCTTTCTCTACCTGTTCTTCCTCCTCTTTGCTTTCTATTGGGAAGCAAGGAGCTTTCTCCACTGCTGGTGTTGTGGCTGGAAGGTAATCATCCCCTTCATCCATACTCCCACTTGTGTTAGTTAGAATATCAGAAGCAAGAGGAGAAAGATCATGCCCCCGGCCAAAATTAAACCCAAGGGCTATCGAGTCCAGGCAGGACATGGGCAAATTGATTGACATGCTTCTCTGTTCTATCGCAGACCTACCACCAAGTCCTAAACTCCTGCTTAGTGTCAAATCATCTTTATTCTTACTGTGGAGATCCCTTTTCTCCCCGTATACTTTGGGATCAATAGTGAACATTCTTTCTTGAGGAGAACTGGGTTCTTCAGGTAATTCAGAAGGATAACCCTGTGCGAGAGTGCTATAACCAGAGTCTTGAGCTGGAGCACTGGGCTGGGACTCTTTTCCTGCCTGAAATCCCTTGTCACCATCTTTATACATAGGAGACAGAGTATCAAAAGACTCTTCTTCGGCACTCTCTCTTGTGTCACTCAGTTCATAGTAATCGCTCGCTGACTGGAGACTCTTTGTGACTTCTTCTTTCAAAGCAGATGTTTCAAAGTACTTGGACATGCCCGACTTATCTTCATAAAGTGGCATCTGAAGCTCAGCTGATGCTGCAGCCTCAATTCCTTCAATGTTATTATCTTGCTCAGCAATATTTTCTTCAAAAAGATCCTGGATTGCACTCTTTTCACTCAGTTTGACTGGTTCCATCATGCCTTTGTCCAGACTTCCTGGGAACGAATCCTGGCTTTTCTGTTCTGAAAAAGCATGCTCTACGAAGGTCTGAATAGGGCCCGTTTTTTCATCTGCCTTTTCCTCAGGCCTGGTTTCTTTTTCGGAAATGGTTTCTTCCTGGTTTAACTGAGGCTCCTTCTGCCTATGTTCTAATTCCTGTTCAGTGAGGGCAGTGGTTTCATTTTTACAAACACTCTCTTGCATGAGGGCCTCCTCTTCCCCTAATACTTTCTCTGCCACTGGAATGTGATCCTCTTTGGATGATGGCATGGCCTCAGAGACTGGTGCTTCTGCCATTCTGTCAGGCTCATTCTCCTGAGGGGCTTCCACTTTTGCACTATCTTTGGCAGTTGCCAGGCTACTGGTTTCGTCCCGAAATTTGTTGTCTTCTAGCTGCAACAGGGCAGAGGCAAAGGGTGATGATCCTGCAACTATTTCATTCTTTATGACCCCTAAAGGAAGAGTGAAACTTCCACCTTGAAAGGGACTTGGCATGGGAGAATCAAATTGTTTCCCTTCCCATTTGGGGATATTCTCAAGTACATCTTTTTCTTTCATGGGTGTCAGGGGACCGGGAGATACTGGAGCAGCTAGACCCCATTCATCCTTTTTCGCTTCCATTGGCATTTCGATGAACCAGTCCTTTTGTTCTTTTGGAGTCAGAGGTTCAGCAGAGAGACCAATACCAGGCACCACTGGGCTTGGTTCTGTCTTCTCTTTCATGTCTTCAAGACTGGCACCCAAAGTGTGCCCAAAGGGAGGGGAGAGTGCTTTTTCTTCTTTTGTGGCTTGCATGTCCATTGTATCAAGGGAAATGTTAGTTGTCTCAGGCTGAGAAACTAAGGCAGCATTTTTAAGGTCTTCACCAGGCTTCCTCTCTTTCAGTGACTCCTGTTCCTTCTTGTCTAAGGGCTCAGTTGCAGAGGGAGTCAATTCCTGTGTATCAAGGAACTCCATCTTCGAGGCTGTAAGGAAACCTAAAGTAATTGGGTTGATTTTAAAGAAATAGTAGGCAAGAGCTTTCAGGCAGTTAGCATCAAATTTTGAATGACAAATGAAGGGAGGGTGGGAGAAAAGAAGAAAAGCTATGGAACATGCAAGCATGCTCTCCATTAAAAAATCAGATGAAGAATCAGGATTTATCTATATTTGTGCTACTACTAAAATGAACTATTGTGAGGTAATGTGTACAGGAATTATAACAAGTATATTTTAAATATGCTACTGTTGGTTTTGTTCTCTCCTACACAGTTTGTGAGAGAAATTTTCATGTTCCTTATATTGATAACAATTTTAAATTAAAGTATATTAAATAAGGAAGTATTGTGAGGCTAGTAAAGTATATGTTCATATATATACATATATATTAAGGACTAAATTTAGAAAATAATTCTACTGAACTTATATTTTGCTCTCTCTTTTAAAAGTGAATTGTCAGAACATGAACAGAAGACCAAGTACCTAAGAGTAATTTTTAGTAGCTCAGTTAACAAATGTTAGAATTCTAACAAATGTTAGAATCAATTTTGATGGCACTGAAAAATTCCAGGCATAAAATTTTCAAAGTCATCTCAGACTGAAATATTTATATATTTGCTATTGACTTTATATGATATAAAATAGGAAATGACAAGTCAATTTCTTACATATATTCAAAATCTTAGCCACTAGAATTTAATTAGACTAGGTGTAATAAAATCTAAAATTAAACTATTGCTACTCATATTAACCTTCATGTGAGCAACAAAACTTTAAAAAGGGCTTGTTATTAAAATGTCTTTTTCTCCTTGGTTATTACTTCTCACCAGAACATGACCATCTGGTAAACTATTGACCAATTTAGGCTTTCGAGAAATTAAGTGACTTTTACAAAAATTTCTGTGCCACCAATTCAGAGACTTCAGAGTCCTGTTTGCTTGTTTAATATCAGCTGTATTTTACTGTGGTCATTAGGGCAAAATGTAATTCTCTGGGAAAAAGATCCACAGAAATAGAGAAATTCAATCCTCTTCCAAAGAGCAAGTGTATGGATCATCATTACCTTAAATACTTGTGTGTCCTGTTGTAACTACAGGAAAGAAATACTCTGTGAACTTCTAATAAAAGCTATATGAGTGAGAACTCCAGAGATAGAAGGATGATGATACGGAGGAGAAATGATATGAGAAGCAAAAGCGGGAGCTTTTAAGGAAACCAAATCAGTATTCACTGAAGCTTACACAGTAAAGCACATCACAATTGCAAACAAAAACATTCGACTATTGAGGCGTCTGCGTGCCAAAGTCCAACTCCACAATTTAAAAGAAAAGCATATAAATTACTGTCTCCAAAATAAAAAAGAAAATATATATATATATACACATGTATTAGCAATGTGACTGGCAAACATTTGAGATGGGGGTGGGGGAAGGCGGGTGAAAAAAAAAAGCGCACAAAGCATCAACAGCCTTGCTGCAAAGCGTATTGTATCATGGCAAAATAAATCAAAGTATAAATCAAATCAGCTGCAGCAGCAGAACACCAAGCTGCCACACGGCACCTGTGCAAGCCACAATCTGCTAAGACTCAAACAGTGGTCTTGGGGTCATGAGAAGACGGAGCGATGGAATAGCATTGGATAGCCATAAGGTTGGTAAGCTGTTGGAGAAATCATTTGCAACCAAGTACATGCAAGCCCTTAGAAAAAACACACCTTCCCTGGCAGAGGAAGGGGTTTTCACTTCTGGAGACACATCTGCGACCTCTTTTACACTTTTTTCCTGCAGAACCCCTGCTGAACCACACTCTTCAGGAACTACTGGGGCCATGTGGCCCTCACTGAGGCCTCTGGGGTAGTCTGAGGCCTTAGCAGCCTCCCACTCTTTCCCAGGAAAAGTAGTATCAGGTCTCTCTTTCTCAGCCATTGGACCCTCTAGCACTTCTTCTTCTTGGGGATGAAAAAGATGTCGACATCATGACCACAGAACAACACACTTAACGACAGAAATACAGTTCAAGAAACACTTTCAGCTCCATTATCATCACCTCAGGAGGACCTCTGATACCATTTGGATGAGCAAATTAAGTTTGTAGAGCAACATACATTATATACTGCTTAGAAAATTATTATGTACAATCTGTTAATAATGATGCCTTTTAAAGTCTCATTGAAAGATTATTTATTTCAAAATGTGAGAGCTGAAAGGGTTTTATGGCTCTATTACCCTCAGTGGAAATGGCAGTCAGTTGCACACATGTGGAAAGCTTGCTGGGAATAAGAGCTGGTGCTGCTGGATAACAGATGGTTGGGAAAAAATCGATGCATTGATGTACTGAAAAAAAACCTTTACATTTGTTAGACATGTGCTGTTTTCTCCAATGCAGGAAGCCCCTACATAAGAATTGCTGACTACTTTATTTAAAATAGGCAAATGTTGCAGAAGAAATTTGGGAGATAGAAAAAAAGCCTGGCCTCAAACATAATATCCAATAGACTCTTTTGACAGCATTATTATGAAGCCCATCACAACTATTTGTTTTTAGTATCATTAATACCACAGCCTATTTAACACACTTATTTTTTTCTTCATTCATTATATATATTTGCTTGAGCAGGCCAATTTTTTTTTTTCAGAGAGGGGTTGGGCCACACCTGGCAGAGATCAGGAGACCATCTGGGGTGCTGGATTCAAATCCAGATCAGTTTTGTGTAAAACAAGTATCTTACCTACTATACAATCAGCCCCAGAATTATATATTCAGTGAAGAAATATAAGAACTGTAAACTATTAAGAAAAATATTTTGAAAAATTTGGTTTAAGTTAGATTTAAATTTTAGAAAATTGACCTATGGACATACTATTATTTATGTACTAATTAAAGATATGACTAATATAGTTCATATACATCTTTCTTTGCCACTGAATAAGAAAATGTACATATTAGCCATAAAGCCTTATTTTTGAAATTCAAAAGAAAACGACCAAATATAGATGATTGAGTGACAACAAAACTACCAAAATATCTTCCCAAAGTATGTACAGTTTGTGGAAAAATGTTAACAATTAAAATATGAAAACCAAACTTATGAAGGTGATGAATTATTGAGTTCATTTGTTTCTCATTTATACTTCAAATGCCAGTTTATAAAATAAACACATTTTACTGTTTAAGAAATTAAAGGGAAATACATAAGCTAAAATTTCCATGAAACAATTAAACATTGTCTCAATTGCCCTGTGAGAAAAACTACTAGATGAAAAGGGAATAATTTTTTTAATTTTTTTTGCTTTTTGGGTCATACCTGGCGATGCACAGGGGTTGTTCCTGGCTCTGCACTCAGGAGTTACTCCTGGCGGTGCTCAAGGGACCAAATGGGATGCTGGGAATTGAACCTGGGTAGGCTGCGTGCAAGGCAAACGCCCTACCCGGTGTGCTATCTCTCCAGCCCCAGGAATAAATTTTTTTAAATTAAAAAATATTCAAACACTTGATGTGCAGTGGAGCTACAACTATATTTTCACATTTAGTAATGACTTTCATTTTTATTAATTTATATACATTTTAATTATCTAACAAAAAGTCTAACTTATTAGCAATTTTTATTATTTAATAGAATCAAATATTTTTGATGACAGCTAAGAAAATTTTAATATAACTGTTTCACTAATTTCACATTATTGGATAAGGTTTAGTCAACTTAATTTCTATATGTCCAAATACACATAATGTTTTTGATTCCCATTTTCTTATTTTGCAATAATTATATTGATCATATCATATACTCTTCTCTCACTAAAATTACATCTTTAATTTTTTCCAATTTGAAAATAAACTCTCCACTTTGCATTTTTTTTCTGCTCAAAAATGTTTTCTTTACAGAGCTACCCAGTTATGGGACTGGAAAGGTAGGGCACTTGCCTTGCACACAATGGACTGGGGATTGGTCCTGACATCCCATCATCCTCCAAGCACCGCAGGAGTAAATCCTGAGTGCAGAGCCAGGAGTAACTCCTGAGTATTGCCAGGTGTGGCCCCCAAACAAAAACAAAACAAGACAAAAATCAAGTTACCAGGTTAAATTGAGAGTATTTGTAATCTACTGTCCACTTATTTTTATTACTACCAAAGCCACATATCAGGGTTTCTCACATTATGAGGCTGGAATAAGGAAACCTTTGAATTATTTCTTTCTTTACTGATTTCCATCTTTATTGGTTTGAGCTAACATTTAGTCACCTAGGGAAGACTCTTGTACATGATTAAGTAATCTGGAGAAATAAATTCAACTTATAACATTGACCCTACCCTACAGAGTTCTTCAATCTTGTTCTTCTAAAGAGCTATCTGGTCAACACAACACTAAAGAGGCCAAATCTATCTCATTCTGCTCCTCATAGTATGTATGCAAAAAACAACAAGGCTATTCCGTGTCACCTCCTTTGCTGTGGGTAACTCATCAACTGATTTACTCACAGGGAGCAGAAAGGAGTCATACTTCAATTGAGCTTTAAAGCTTCCTTTCCCCTACGCCTCCTTAACTTCTCCCTGGTACTTTCTTAGAATTAATGATGATAATGTAAAAGGAAATCATCCACATATTGCAAGAAAGTTTTTTTTTAAAACAAATTATTGAGGCACTTGGGTAGATACACGTAAGCTATTATATAGGGACTTCACTTTCATATGGAAAAAACAGGCTCCTTTTCCCACCCACCCACATGTGAAGACGCAGTTGGTGTGATGCATGTGGTCAAAGCTGCAGGGAGGAGGAACCAATGGGGACCATGCTGGGTTCACCTTTCTCCTGGCCTAAGAGGGCTTCTGCACTCTGCGCTGGGACACTGGGGAGCACACTAGAGGTGGTCCATTCTGAGCTGAACAAAGGATGCTCATAGTATTCGTCATCGGAATTGGAAGGGTCATCATCAGGCACAGACACAGAGATGGAGGGGGCTAGGAGTCTACGCCTCTCCCCGCTGCTGGTGGGTTCATGGCTGGGGAACATATGTAGAGGACCCACTTGATCCTCAGCCCCTTCATCTATGAACAGACACACAGGAAGAAAATGCAGGGAAAACTGGACAAGACATACAGGAGATCAGACAGACGAAGACATACACTTTGCAGAAAGAGACAAAGGGTCCCAAACAAAACAGCACAGCGTGATGGAGGGAAACTGGCACGACCAAGCTGATGCCGGATGGAAGACAGTGAATGGATCGGGAGTCTGAATTTCAACTATTCTTTGAACAATCTTGCACTGAGCTAGATGAATCAATACACTGACAACCCCACTGCATGAGAGAAATTATCTATACATTCCCCTCAAGAAAGTCAGAATAACCATGGGAACACTGGAACAGAAACAAAGCATCACAGGACCAATACATTGTTTGGAAGAAATTATTTCAAGTGCACTAATATTTCACATGCTTATATAAATATATTTATAAGTTAAAAATGTTATTAAGATCTGATGCCTGTATGATTATGGAGGAAAAGCATTTGGTTTGAAGCACAATAGTAATTATCTAGGATGCACAGATATTTAGAATTTGACTTAATTTAATTTTCAACATAGTCTAGAAAGTAATCTTTTATTTCAGCTTTCTTAATAAAAATCCAGAAAATATTGCTTTTATTTCCTGCCTTGCTGAGAAAATCATACTCTTTCTTTGGATGCTGTGCCTTTTTTAGCAACTTTTTAATACGAGTTTTAATATTTACTATGATTTACTGCTATGATAGAATATGGTTTTAGAAGGTCTCCAGTTATCTAAAATTATTTTCTTATATTTGTTTCTCTTTAATATTTGTTTCTTTTTTTGTAGTGTTGTTTCAGGTACATCAAGACATCACTCTATAGTTTTATTGGCATGCTGACTCTTGGCTACTTTTATATTCAACTTTCTTCTCTAATTCTTCATAAAAGCCACAGTTCTCATTTCTGTCCTTGCTTGGAAACATGTAATTAACAACCTTTGGTACATAGTTTCCTTAGTTATTTGTATTTTTATATATTTTGAGAATGGTGGCAATGAACAACATTTTGCTCCTGTAGTGATACAGGTAAATTTACCACTCCTACTTGGCAAGTTGCTAACATTGTTCATCACTATTGATGCTATACAGGGAAATTTATATAGAGAATTATATAAAAATCTATAACTGTCCATTATAAGTCTGCAGTATTTGTATTTCCATCAAAATTAAGCAGGCAGAATAAAATTTACCTTTAATTTGAAGATACAATATACTTTAAGATAATGACTAATTTTCAGTAACTAATTATAGGCAAATTAAAATAAGCCTGAAATTATGATACCAAAATAAAATTTTATATAGTTTTGAGAACATTTCTAACAAATTATTCCACAGAGGTTGTTTCTGGATAAGTGCTCAGAATTTTCTTAGTGATGATGCTTATTATATATCATGGGATAGAAGAAAACTAAAATAACATTTGATTGTATTCTTAGTTCAAGTTAGCACGATTTCTCAGTTGAGCAGATAATTGGCTGAGATCTGGCCTAAAACATTGAATCATAAGTCCTTGACTTGTTAGAGGACCTAGTCATTCATATTTCCTCCCAAGTCAGTAATTCCCTGGCTTTTAATTCCCAATGCATATCATTTACTTCTAAAAGTTTTAACATATTCAACAGATTACATGGACAGTCAATCAATGAGTGAAAATGGTATAAATGCCTCTCTGCTTGTTCAGATTTTCTGGAGAGTGAAGAAGACTGCCACATAAAACTAAAAAAACAAAATGAAGTTGAGAGCTGGTATTTTAAAGGCAAAACTCCTTGACTGTTTTAACTTTCTGAAAATTTCCAGTTTCCTCTTTCTTGTTGCCGTTGCTCTTTATGAAAGTGCCAAAATATGAAAACAACCCACAGTCTGGCTTCACATCTATAACATTTCAAAGAAACAGCATTT